TGATCAGCATAGCCCTGATTGTTAATGAACAACTTAATACATTATCCCTCTTAGTAGTTTTTTTGTCTGTTCTACTTAATATGACTGGTTTAATTCTGTAATTAATACACAGTTATTCTTAAGTGTTGAAATTTAACTGAAATGTGATCCCTGTTAAACAAGTGTGGGAATAAGAGAGGGAAGAGATGTACAATTTGGGACATGCTCAAGCTGACTTGCCCCAAATGGTAGAGTTAGAAACATACCAGGGGTCTCCAATTCAAACCCATCAAGGTGGCATGTACCAATGCCATCTCACTAGTCCAAGTGATCAATTTCAGTTCACAATTGATTATAATGAAAGGACTAAGAGTCAAAGGGAGCACATAAATAAGTCTAGTACCTGCTAATACTAAGCGATAGAATAAATAAAGGGGAGAGTGATCCAACATGGGAAGCGAGATACTCAGCAGACTCATAGAATGGCGGATGTCCTAAACAGCACTCTCACCTCAGAATCAGCCCTAAAGGCATTCCGATCTGGCTGAAAAGCCCATGAGAGTATTTCAGGCATGGAAAGCCAAGGCACTCTGGCAAAAAAAAAAAAAAAAAAAAAAAAAAAAAAAAAAAAAAAAAAAACCTAAATGAAAGATCTCTGTGCGTGAGATCCCAGTGGAAAGAACAGGTCTTCAAAGAAGGAGGTACCTTTCTCTGAAGGGAGGAGAGAACCTCCACTTTGACTATGACCTTGTCTAAACAAGATAAGAGTCGGAGAACTCAAGGGGCTTCCATAGCCTTGGAAACTCATGACTGGTGCATAGGGAGATTACTGATGCCATAAACAGTAGTGTCAATTTGTAAAGTCAGCAACAGGAGTCACTGTGCACTTACTCCTCATGTAGGATCTCTGTCCTTAATGTGCTGTGCATTGAGATTTAATGCTATAATGAGTACTCAAACAGTATATTTCACTTTGTGTTTCTATGGGGGTGCAAACTGTTGAAATCTTTACTTAATGTATACTAAACTGATCTTCTGTTAAAAAAAAAGAAGAATTATCAATTCCCAACTTGACTCTCACTGGGATTAAACATGACAATAGGTCTGATCTGATTTCATCATCATTTAAAAAATCACCTATTATTTTTCACTTTATGTTTCTGTGTGGGTGCAAACTGTTGAAATCTTTACTTAATGTATACTAAACTGATCTTCTGTTAAAAAAAAAGAAGAAATTATCAATTCCCAACTTGACTCTCACTGGGATTAAACATGACAATAGGTCTGATCTGATTTCATCATCATTTAAAAAATCACCTATTATTTTTCACTTTATGTTTCTGTGTGGGTGCAAACTGTTGAAATCTTTACTTAATGTATGCTAAACTGATCTGTATATAAAGAGAATTGAAAATGAATCCTCATGTGAATGGAAGGGGAGAGGGAATGGGAAAGGGGAGGGTTGTGGGTGGGAGGGACGTTATGGGGGGGAAGCCATTGTAATCCATACGCCGTACTTTGGAAATTTATATTCATTAAATAAAAGTTAAAAAAAAGAGTGTCAGACTACGGAGGGTCAAATTTAACAAGGAGAACTGCAGAATAGAATGCACAGAAGACCAGAAGGAATATTTAGATGGGTTATATTAAGTGGAAGAAACTAGAAAAGTTCAGGGAAAAAGATAAAATGCCATCAGGGTGGTCCTAGTAGAAACAGAATTTGCAGAAGAGTATGTACAGTACATTCAAATAAAGCAGAGGAAAAAATGTGTAAAGAGAGAGTTAGCATTTAGCCTAGTAGCCATGATACCAAAGAAAATGTTCAAGTCCTACTTTAGAGTGCATGGGGTTGACTTCCAGTTCTGGTTCCTGATTCCACCTTCTTGCTAATGAAGATCCCAGGAGGCAGTTGTGATGACTCAGTTGGGGTCCACCAGTTACTGTGCAGGTAATGTTCTGTTGTGGTGACTGTTCCACAAAGTGGTTGACATGCATTGATCAATGCACTCATATATATCTGGCTGATTTTTATCTGTTTGGTCCATGAGTTACTAAAAGAAAAGTATTAATTATCTAACTTCGTGGATTTTTTTCAGTTTCTTATTTAGTTCTGTGGGCTTTGTCTCATGTTCTTTTAGATTTATTTTTATTTATTTGAAAGACTTACAGAGAGAAATAGAGACAGAGAGAAAGAGTGAGAAGTCTTCCATCCTTTGGTTCAGTTCCCAAATGGCTGTGATGGCCAGAGCTGAGCTGATCTGTCACTAAGAGCCAAGAGCTTCTTTAGGGTCTACCACATAGGTTCAGAGGCCCAAGAACATGGGTGGCATTCCACTGCTTTCCCAGGCAAATTAGCAGGAAGCTGGATGGGATGTGAAACAGCCAAGGCTCGAATGAATGCCCATATGGGATGCTGGCACTGCAAGCCTGGGCTTTAACCTGCTGCACCACAGTGCTGCCCCTCATGTCCTTTGAAATTTGTTTTATGAACATGGACGTTTATGATTATTATATCATAATGACACATGAGCTATTTATTGTGAAGAAAAGTCTCTACATCTGTGGTAACATATTTTACATAAATAGTGTTATTTTGTACCAAATATGATACACACTTGAGCTTTTTTAAAAGATTTTATTTATTTGAGAAGTAGAGTTACAGATAGTGAGAGGGAGAGACAGAGAGAAAGTTCTTTCTTCTGTTGATTCACTCCCCAAATGACTGCAATGGCTGGAGCTGCACCGATCCCAAGCCAGGAGCCAGGTGCTTCTTCCTGGTCTCCCATGTGGGTGCAGGGGACCAAGCACTTGGGTTATCCTCTACTGCCTTTCCAGGCCACAGCAGAGAGCTGGATTAGAAGAGGAGTGGGCGGGACTAGAACCAGCATCCACATGGGATGCTGATACCACAGCAAAGGATTAACTTACTGCCACACAGCACCAGCCCCCTCAACTTGAGCTTTTTATGATTAGTGTTCATATAGTATATCTCTGTAAAATATTTATTTTTATTTAAATGGCAGAGATGGAGAGAGGTTTGATCTTTGATTCAGTTTCCAAATACCTACAATGACTGGGACTGTGCTGTGTTGAAATCATCAGCCAGCAATTCAGTTACTTGCATCATCCAGCCCCCTAGAGTCTGAATTAGCAGGAAAGTAGAGCTGGAAGCCAGAACTGTGTATCAAACCAACATACTCCAATATGGGATGCAGTTTTCTTTCCTACACTGTACATCCCACTCTGCATGGTGCATCTTCTTTTACTTTTAGTCTGTGTACCTGTATTAAAATGGATCACTTATGGATTTGCATAATGAAATGTCCTGTTCTTTTAATCAAGCCTGATGAGTTCTGTGTTAATCATCAGTCCATTTACATTTAATTAAAATGTGGTTGAAATTATGTCTGCTATTTTATTATTTATTTTCTGTTTATCTCATTTGATTTGTTTCTCTGTTTTTCTACCTTCTTTTGAGGTCATCAAATATTTTAAATTATTTTTAAAAACCTTTTATTACATTGCTTATTTGGTACACACATGGAGAGAATTCCCATTCACTGTTTTACTTCCCCAGCTGCCTGCAATGACTGCAACTGAGCCAGGCTGAAGCCAGAACCTGGGAACTCACTGAAGCTCTTCCTCCCACTTCACACAGATGTCTGAACACCAGTCCCTTGAGCCATTGCCACTGCCTACTGGGGTCCTCCCAAGAAGGAAGCTAGCACTGTGAGTCTGAGCCCAGGCCCTCAAATATGGCACACATGCATCTTAACTGACATCTAAGCACTAGGCTAAAAGCCATTGCCAATAAAGTGTTTTAAATATTTCATATGGCATTCCTGTTGTATATTTAGATCTATGTTATAGATGAAACATGTTTTTCCAAAAGATGTATGTGGACATTCATAGGACCTTCAAATGAGTAATTGAGATTAATAGGGTCCTTTGGATGGGCCCTTATCCAATCCAACTGCTGTCTTTGGAAGAGAAACACCAAGGATGGGCCATAGGAAAGATTAAGTGAGGACATAGAATTTGGCCATCTTCCAACCAAAGAAAAAGGCCTAGGAGAAACCAAGTCTGAAGAAGCTCACTCTTGAATTTTCATTCTCCAGAACTATGAAAAAATATATTTCTGTTGTTTAATCCACTCAGTCTATAGTATTGAATTATGGCGACCTTAGTAAGGGCATACAATGCTTTATTTCTTTCTTTTTATAGATTTATTTATTTATTTGGAAGTCAGAGTTACAGTGAGAAAAAGAGAGGCTGAGAGAGAGGAGGTCTTCCATCTGCTGATTCATCCCTCAATTGGCCTCAATGGCCGGAGCTATGCTGATTCAAAGCCAGGAGCCAAAAACTTCCTCTGGCTCTACCACATGGGTGCAGGGGTCCTAGGAATTGGGCCATCCTCACTGCTTTCCTGGATCACAACTGGAGCAGCCAGGACTTAAACCAGTGCCCATATGGGATGCTGGCATTGCAGGTAGCAGCTTTACCTGCTACGCCACAGTGCTGGCCCCTACCATGCTTTCTTGTATTAATTTTCTTCAATTGACACATAACCATATGCATTAATTGTTCTAAGGAATTACAATATGAATAATTTACCACAATATACATGATTAACACTGCACTGCATCATATGAATATAGGGTATTTTTCAAACAACAATTCCATTAAGATCCCTGTACAATGTGCTATTTTTATACCAATGTGTACATACTGAATTAACACATGTGTGCCACACATGGTGTGATAGCTTTTGCTTCAAATAACGATCTCTCTTTTAAGGAAATTAATTATCTATATTCACCACTGCACATGCTTGTCATATTTAGTGATTCTGATTTGTCGCTGTACATCCAATAAAGAATCTTCCAACATTTTTTTCAGCTTGTAGACTTCCTACAGTATTCAATGGTGTAGGTCTGCTGATGACTAATTATGTTAGTACTTTTGTCTGGAAATTTTCTTTATTCACATCATGTTTTAATTTTTATGTATTTTTCATTTGGAAGGCAGACAGACAGATCTTCCGTAAATTGATTCACTCCTCAAATGCACATAGCAGTCAGGTAGGGCCCGGCCAAAGCCAGGAGCACAGGATACAATTTAGGTCTCCCTTGCAGAGATCAGGGGACCAAGTACTTGAACCGTCATCTCATGCTTCCCTGAGCAGCAGTAGCGGTAGCAGTGGCAGAAGCAGGCAGGTTGGTGAAAGCATCCCAGGCAGCCACTTAATCTGCTGTGCCATAAAGCTTGCCCTTAGTAACCTCATATTTTTGAATAGTTTCACTCAGTAAAGAATCTGGAAAGGGCCAGCACTGTGGCGCAACGGGTTAAAGCCCTGGCCTGAAGCTCCGGCATCCCATATGGGTGCTGATTTTAGTCCCGGCCACTCCTCTTCCAATCCAGCTTTCTGCTATGGCCTGGGATAGCAGTAGAAGATGGCCCAAATCCTTGGGCCCCTGCACCCATGTGGGAGACCTGGAAGAAGCTTCTGGCCCCTGGCTTTGGATTGGTCCAGCTCTGGCCATTGCAGCTATTTGGGGAGTGAACTGGTGGATGGAAAACTCTCTCTCTCTCTCTCTCTCTCTCTCTCTTTTTCTTTCTCGCTCTCTGCCTCTGCCTCTCTGTAACTCTTCCTTTCAAATAAATAAATATATCTTAAAAAAATATCAGCTTTGTGGCTAACTTTGTGGTCCAGGGGTTAAGCTGCCAACTGCCATGCCAGCATCCTGTATGAGCTTCAGTTTGAGTCCCGGCTGCTCTGCTTCTGACCCAGCTCCCTGTTGATGCACCTGGAAAAGAGCAGAAGATGGCCCCTGTGCTCATGTGGAAGACCCAGATGGAGTTCCAGGCTCCTGGCCTCAGCTTGGACCAGCCCTGGTCTTTGTGGCCACTTGGAGAGTGAAGCAGCAGATGGAAGATCTATCTGTCTCCCTGTGTCTGTGCAAGAGGATGAAGGAGGCCGGGTCTCAGGGGTTGCTGCTGTGGGTGAGATTACACCCCACACTCAAGACTGACCAGCCACGCAGCCACACCATGGTAAGCCCACCAGCTTGCAGTCAAACTTCTGTTTGCCTCAAGTCCTCTGTACCCATAATGTGCCATCACTACCCATTCCTATCTTCCTATGAGCATTGAAAGTGTGTGTCCCCACTTACGACTGAAGTCTCTGCAAGGTGACTCAAGTTCTGCCCAGAGCACCAAGGCATTGGGGACAGAGGAGCAGAAACTGCTTTCATGATGCTCCTGCTCCACCTGTTGTACAGTCTAGCCCTCAACCAGACCCATACCCTTCCTCCCTCCCTTCCTTCTTCCCTCCCTCCCTCACTAGGGAGGGTAGCAGATTTAGAACACTGACTGCTTGTCCACCCTGAGGCTGTGGGAGGAGCTGTCAGAATACCAAAGCAACTGCCCCACCCCCCCTTCACTGGGCAGATGATTATGCCTGTACATTGGGGGACACATGACATTTTGCCAGGACATTTGTGGACACTGTGGAAAACAAAACCACTTGGGGCCCTGCTACTCTTGTGTGAGAATGCACAAGAACAAGCCAAGATGAAGGGGTGGAGGAAAAGCAGTGGCATTTTAAGAAAAGTGGTAAGAAAAGAGGTGACCCATGGGCAGAGAAGTGAAAGAAGGGAGGGGAGCATTGCAGGTGGCAGGAACAGCAAACTCCAAGTTCCCTCTAAAGAAAGATTAGTGAAAGCAGGTGCATGATTCAAACATGTTTTGCTTCCAATTCATCCCAGAAGAGGACAGGGAGGACAGGAAGAAGCTCATGTGGAATTGAGTAAAGTGTGTTATCTACCCTTTATCAGGCTAACAGCTTCTTATAGAAGGGCCCACAGTCTGGAGCAAAGTCAATCTGTTTTATAGCATGTTTCCAGAATCAGCTATAAACAACTGGATGTGTGACTAGCTGATGGGAATCCTTGCATTCTGTTAGTGTAGCCCCTGCCCCACAATACAGCAAGGCAGAAAAGAAATCAGAACCTCTGAGCCTTGTCTCCCCCCAAACCCACCCCGGGGATTAATGGAGAATTACTGGAGGAGATTGTTTCACTGTGTGTAAGGGAGGGAGAGAGGAGAGTGGGTGCAGGTTAGGGACAGGAAGTCTCAAACTCTCACCCGAAATGCAGGTCTGTCATTCAGGATCTTCCTGATGTTATACAGGTGATGCTCAAATTCATTTCATGATTTGGTCAAGGTCAAGTTTTCATTTCCATTTCCTTCTTTCATACAAGCACATCCTAACATATCCCCACCCCCTAGTAACTCAGGGGTGCCATACTAGCTGTTTCTAAAATGTTCATGAAAAATGCAAAAACATATGCATGGATTTTGATTTTTTTCCACTAAAATAAATGTAGCTTTCAGCTCCATTTCCCATGAACGTGAGTGACACTTGTATTTCAGCATGTCAGTTACATGTGACTTCCCACTTACCTTGCTTCCTCATGATCCTCTACATTGAAGGTGAAGGCAGGAATGGTTTCTGTTTGTCTTGTAGTCCTAGAATGGGTTTCTGTTTGTCTTGTAGTCCTAATCCTTCTTCAGTGCCTGTTAACAACTGAATAAGTGACTTGTAGAAGTGTTCTGTGCCTAAGTGCTCCTTTACCTTGTACTTACGGAGAGCGACCTAGCCCGAGGCTCTGACACCCAAATGAGGTGTTTCTACAAATGGGATATTTCTCCTTGAATGGAGAGGGAAGAAAATAAAGGGTTCAATTATGCCTTCAAATAAAACCTCGTTTGAGACTCACGCAATCTTTCCAACAAACTGCACCCACACTCCCCTATCACTCTCTGCATGACACAAGACTTCTGCCAGGGAGTCTCCATTAAGCAAGTCTGAGCATGCGCAAGTAAGGGTTGCTCTGCACAGGTCAAAGCATATATAGACAAAGCTTAGCCGGGGACAGTGCCGACTAGAAGACTGGGTGCTTGATCATAACATGTGGAGAGAATGGCTCAAGACCTGACTCAAACAGGATTCTAACTCCTGTCCAGCTGGCCTTCCCAGGTTACACGGACTCTGACAAGGAGGTGAACCAGCAGCTCCACCTGCTGGCCAGTGTGACCCATAGGTGGAGAGTCCAGGAGGGTAGGTGCATGCATTTCACAGGTCCTGAGCACCTTTGCCTTTTGAGTGGCAAATGCTCCTGCCACCTTCCTTCCCCACTAGCATGAAGGCCTTGCGTTCAGTGGATTCCACGGAGTTGCCAAGTTTGCTTGAACTGTGTGATAGATGCCTCCTGATAGCACAAGCCCCGTGCCTGCTGGACTTCTCTCCCCATCTGTAAAAGCAGGAAGATGGAATTATATCTAACAGAGGTCCTTCCTCTCCAACTTTAATATAATGAGGGTAAAAATTAAGAATCAGAAGAGACTGAGAGGAAACATATGGAATTTGAACGGTGGAGACCTGGGAGGCTGGTTGACGTGTGGTTCTAATTATTGGTTGGAGAAGATCAAGTTCCCCATTCAAGTTCTCCCTTTCTCTGAATTCCATAGCCTCTGAGAAGTTCAAATGGTCAGAACTTCCTACACAGAGCTCCCATCATCATTTGTTCCCTATAGGGAATGAATATAAAGTGTTTCATTTAACTCATAATTGCTAGCAATACACACTTCAGGCCCAAGCGTGGGGCCTTTTGGGCTTGATTCATGAACCAAGTAACTTCTTTATTTTTTAAAGATTTATTTATTTATTTGAAAGTCAGAGCTACACAGAGAAAGGAAAGGCAGAGAGAGAGAGAGGTCTTTCATCTGCTGGTTCACTCCCCAACTGGCCACAATGGCTGAAGCTGTGCCAACCTGAAACCAGGAGCCGGGAGCTTCTTCCAGGTCTCTCATGTAGGTGTAGGAGCCCAAGGACGTGGGCCATCTTCCAGTGCTTTCCCTGGCCATAGCAGAGAGCTGGATTGGAAGTGGAGCAGCCAGGACTAGAACCAGTACCCATATGGGATGCTGGTGCTTCAGGCCAGGGCGTTAATCCACTGTGCCACAGTGCCGGCCCCCCAAGTAACTTTTCTAAAGATTCCTGTTCTCCAGAAGAAAACCCAAACCTATATCATACAAGTTAAATTCCTAGAAGAAAATTCAGATTTAAATCTGCCTTAGGCTTCCCATTACATCTATCAGATTAAGAAATTAAGACGAGCACAATACAAGGTTCTTAGAGGAGCAGTTGATTACATGCAGTTTCTACAAATAGGGATAAGTTATGAAATGGCCATAAAAAGCCAGTTGAGGAGGTAAGGATGGTTAGGGATTGTTAGATATAAAATCTTGAGTCTCTGTTTATAAAATGAAGTCTTTCCAGTGAACACGATGTTGTGATGTGTCTGGTAAATTCTCCAGTGGGGAACACTTGGGTGTGTTGAATTAGATTCCAGGCAGCTAATACTTGGGAATACTTTCACAGGAGACCAAAGGTGGGTGTGTCACTGGTGGTGCCCAGCTTACCCCTTGATCCTTCTTCATTGTGGGAGCAAGTAATTATAGCTTGGAGAGACAAAAGTAGGAGTAGGACAGCAGAGACTTTTCAAGTTTGTTCAAGGAAAGAACGGCTGTTGTGAGAAAGTGTGGCACTCACTCTATTCCTGGTCTCTGGCTTCCTCCCTCATGTGACAGAGCATTGACTGGTGATGTGACCATGATGCTAACGATTGGAATTTTTTTCTCTGACTGTGTTGCTTTATTTATTTATTATTATTTTTATCTTTCTCCCAAGAAACCTTTTAGCCAAGGAATACAAACCTCATGCATTTCACAAGCACAACCTTAGGAACACAATGATTCTTCCCCCCACACCCACACTCCCACATACTCTCCCACCCCTCCTTCCCTTCCCTCTCCCATTCCTGGTCCCATTCTCTTTGAGGACAGAGGTCCTGCATGGGAAGTTAGTGCCATGACTCTTGTTGCTAGTTTAACAGTTAACACTCTTACGTATGATGTCAGTTATCCCCCAAGGCTCTCAACATAAGCTGCCTAGGCTATGGAAGTCTTTTGGATCCAAAATCCTTCAGGAAGTGGCAAGTATTTCTGGGGCTCAAGCTAGAAATAGGGCCTTCAGAGTAGAAAGATGGGACTGAGAGGAACATTCCCAATGGGGCCTGTGGATGTCCACTGAGCTAGTCTGGACACAAGCCTGGAAATCTGGTGGAAGGCTGAAGGTCTAAAGAGACCAAGACAGGCTATCCAGAGAAGGTGGAATATGGTTGGACATCACTTATGCAAGCATTTGAGCTTGGTTTTTGGACACTTTTATGCATTTTGTGTATCAGCAAAGGGAGATTTGCAATGGCAAAGTTGGGAGAGAGTAGTAAGAGAAACCTAATACTTTCTGTGCAGGAGAGGAGGGTAGGGTTCTGTGGTGCTGAGACCCTGGGGTATCTTCTTATGCCTGCTCTGTCTCCCAGTTAAAGAGTCCTCACTCTGCCTCCTCAGGACACATGCTCCCCTCACACTGGTTCTTCAGGTCAAGGTTATCTTGATTTGGGAATGTTTTAACTGATGGAAAAGCACAGCTTGTTTTTTTTAATTATTATCCAAGTAATAAGCCTACCACTTCTCATTATGCTTGGCAGCCTATTTGAATGCAGTCCACAAGACACAGATATGAATAGCCTAGAAAATATCTGAACCAAAATCAAATATTTTTCCAAATGAAGTTGAACTTATTGTTGTTTGGACTCATGTTATTGGATTCAGGAACCATGCTAGGCAGTACACAATCATTTTCATGTTTTCATTCACTGCTCCATTGGCATGATGAGGTGGTTCCAATTTTAGACAGATAAATAGATTCAGAATGATTTTCCCAAGGTTGCAAAACCATACTCTTGCTCCCATCACAGGTTCCATGGACTGGATTCCTTCTATGGGTGTGACTAAAGCAGTAACCTGGGAAGCAAAAGGACTTCATAGCAGCCTAAGCATCTGTAGGCTCCTCCTTAGGCAAGAGCTAGTGAAAATGAATCCTGGTCTGCAGCTATACTCCATGTCACCAACTACAGTAGCCACCTACTTTATTTTAAACAAGCCTTAGACAAATCATTTTTCTGAGCTTCTGTATCTATGAAGTGTGTTCACCTGACCTCTTCACTTGAAAAGAAAATGAGAGCATAAGGAAAGCATTATTTATGAATTTTAAGCAAAAGTGGACACTAACTTTGCAGGGAAGTTTATCTGGGCTAGGGAGTGGCAAGGAACTAACACACAGTCACTGTGCTGCAGAAACTTGACATTTATCCTAAAAGGTAAAGAGATCATTCCCCTTGTATAATGGAAAGGCAAGTTCCAAGTGATTAGCTAGCTCAAAATTGGTGTCAGAGGCAAGATTCCAATCTAGAACTGACTAGCACCAGGCCAGGTGCCCAGAGATTTGAAAGCTGAGATTGCATGGAGACCGAACTGAAACATCCCCAGATATCCCACTAAAAAACTGGAGGACTTCCTCCAATTTAAATATCAGTCATTTCACTAAGCAATTGCCACTTGCTGCACACTGCAATGAAGTTAAAACAGCACACAATGAAAGATACAAGCAATTCTGATACAAATGTTTCAGCTTCTTTTTACTAAGTTCAGTCCACTTGTAAAGAGGTTAACAAGTCCTGTGGGAAAAGAGAATTGAAGTTAGAGAACACACACTGAGTGAGATGACTGAGCCACTCAGAAGTTAGCTGACTTCACAGAGGGAGATAAGTCTTAAGAGAAACTCCCAACATCTCCTACAACAGCAGCCCACCATAGGGCTGAGCTCCTTGTGGAAGTCCAGCAAAAACTCATGCCTTGATGACTATTTCATGCATATTTCACATCATTCAGCCCTTAATTATTAAAATCAAAAGCTGAAGGTAAAAATCAAAGCTAAAGACAAAAGAGTTCCAAAAAGAGTTTGATACACATAGTAGCAGCTTCACCAACAGCAAGAAGTTATCATTGAATACTGTCACCTGGCTAGGATTTTTCCCAAGGGACATTCTTCCACTAGGTCCCACAACCATTTTCCTCAGAGACAGATGTCCCAGACTTCCTCAGCATCTCTGTTCATCCCAGGACTCACCAACAACATCTCACTGCTCAGCACATGCTCTTCCTCTTGGTGACTTTCTTTAATGCAGGTGGGATTTCTTGGTGATGCCATACTGTTCTAGAACACAAAGAGGCAAAGTCAAGAGAGTTGGTCTTGGAAGTAGAAGCTGAGATTGAGGGGCTATTAGAAAGGGCTGATTTGTTCTCTATGGCTATTACTGTAGGAATTATGGTCTATTTAAAAACTGAGAGGTAGACACACACGTGCACACATACACACACACACACACACACATCCCATCCACTGGTCAATCCTCACATGCCCACAACAGCTGGCAGCTCTTAGTACAAGGAGCCAGAACTCAGTTCAGGTCTCTCATGTGGGTGGCAGGAACCCAATAACTTGAGACTTTGTTGTTGCCTCTCACGATCCATATTAGCAGGAAGCTGAATCAGGAGCCTAAACCAGGAATCAGACCCAGATAGTCCAGTATGGGACATGTGCATCCTAACAGGTAGCTTAACTGCAAACCCAAATGGGTCCCTGTACCCTATTTTAATTGTCTAGATCATTAGCGAAGCAAATGATCTAGAATGGACAGCACTCAAGTCAACTGTGATTTGTTATGAGGCTTTCAGTTAATTCCCAAAATGGGATTTTTTCTCAATTGAGGGAAACCAGGTAATTGGAGTCAATGAGAACATAATCAAAATACAGGTAAGAGATAGCTAGACACAAGTGAATTGAGAAAGACTGTGAATGTAGTAGAAGCCCAAGAGAATTCGATAATCTTAATGTTGACCAGCTAGATATTAACCAATGTTACTGTGGGCAAAGATTGATCATTACTCCGGTCTTTTCTTTCATTTGAAAAGTGACAGCTGGAAAGAGATGTAACTTAACTCTTTAACATCTGTAAAATATTTCTTCATGCACAGGCTGCTTAATTACCATTCTCAATATGTATTCCACAAAAAAAGGGGGGGTTGTGAAATCAGTTTGAGAAAGTGGTTTGGAGCAGATGAAATGGACTGCTTTCCTGCCAGACCAAGAGTGTTGAACATGCTAACATGCTGAGTAATTACCAAAGTGGCTCTGGGCGGCACACTTCTTTGAGTACTGCTCAGAAACTGGTGTCACTTAGCAACTTTGAGAAATGTGTCAGCTTCTCATGCAAGGGTACGTCAAAGTATTAGTGGGAAATGGAATTAGGAGATAAGTTTATTTTGGGGCCAAGAAATTTTGAAATCCATGCATACATGGTGGTCTTCAAAAAGCTCATGGGAAAGGAATATTATGAAAAAGCTGTGTCTGGGTTTTTACTTGTTTTTTAAAGTATTCCCGGAATGTGAACAAGTTAGGGAGAAGGTCTGTTGGGCTTGGACATTGCCAATGCAAACACTAGGATGCCCAAGATTTTATCCTAAAAACATGCCGAGAAGGGTCAGCTGAACTGGATCTCTAATGAGCTGATGGAAGAAGGCTCACCTGGTATCTCCCAGTTCACTGCCAAGACGAACATTTTCTTTATTTATAGGTGGTTCTTTCAACACAGAGAAGGGCTCCCCATGTCCTGCTGTCACACAAGAGCAGCCTCGTCTGCAGCCAACAGCAGAGCCCATAGGCCACTGGAACCCCCATTGCTCCAGGACTTCTTCCAAGAATGTGGGGTCTCACTTTTCAGGAGACTCAGACTTTGCAGCCCTAAGGAAGAGTCAAGTTCTTGTAAGCTGTTACCAAAATAGTGACCCACGCTGAGGGTACAATTTAGAGTTTGATGACCCAATAAGCACATTATTTTCTACCAAGCTATACAGGTTTTAGTTATACATTTAAAGATAATCCAGTTTTAGGTTTACGCTCCAGAAAAGCAAGGGGCTTATGTCTTCTGTGAGAGAGCATGTGACTTTACTGTCTTCCACGCATATTAAAAACACCCTGCCATTGTAGGGGCCAGGTCCCAAGAACAGCAAGAGATCCAGCAAATACGGCTCCAGCAGGGCACTTGACCTTGTACCTCTCATCAAATTGTAGCTGCAGAACCTGTGTTTCATGTGCAAGGGAAGTTTGGTTCCATAACTTCCACTTGTAGAGGTAGAAACAAATTCTAAACATGACAAAAAGCTATTAATCACATTATTTTGGACGTGTTTGATCTTTAAATCCCAAGCCAAGTCTCAGAGATGGGAACTGAGTTGGAAGTAAGTGACCTGCCGGAGCTTTAACTGTGACAGAGTTGGGGGTGGGGGGGGCAGTGCTGTCATGGAGCAAGTTAACACGGTGTCTGCAGTGCCCGCATCCCATGTGGACTGGGTTGGAGTCCCAGCTGCTCCACTTCTGGTCCATCTCGCTGCTAATGCGCTTGAGAAAGCAATGGAGGATGGCCCAACTGTTTGGGCCTCTGCAGTCATGTGGAAGACCCGGATGAAGCTCCTGGCTTTTGGCTTCCCATCGACCCAGCTATGGCTGCTGGGCACTGGGGTGTGGAGGAGCTCCCTTTCCACCTGCCGAACACCCAGGGAGTGAAAAACACCGAGCACAACTGCAGGCTGGGAAAGCAGCAAGAAGAGGGGCTGGAGCACCGACTCCTCCCGCATCCAGGGCATCCCCTACAGGACCTCCAGCCTCACCCTCCTACATCTTCCGGAACGCGGGAGGGCAGAATGCGTGTGGGCTGGCCGCCAGGGACCCCAAGTTCTCCGCCTACCGGCTCCACAGCACCTGGTAGCCCGCGCCCCCTGCGCCTTGCAGAGCGAGGTGTGTGGCCTCTGCAGCGCTGCTCTGCCCGCCTGCGCGGGAGTCCCCGACGCTGCCCGCGCACACGGCCCGGGAGAGGACAAGGGGACAAGGCACCGGGGACCCCGCGCTCGGTGCCGGAGCCCAGGATGGAGCTGTGCTCTCCCGAGCAAAGCGCGGGCTGCGTGGAGCCGAGGGACGCGCTTTGTTCCCTGCCGGGGTGCGGACATGGGGTAGGGGTTAGGGATCATTGGTGTCTTGGGCTCTCGGTGAAGACCTGCAGGGCAAGGGGCTCTGGCTGCTCTGGACAGCTCCTCAGCTCCTTAGCGGGGAGGAGTGGCTGGACCCTGAAGCCCCTGCCGCGATGGAGCGCACTCAGCCAAGGTGCAGCCATCCCGAGACCCGGCCCTTGTCACACTCAGGGATGAGGAAGGGTGATCAGCGACCCTGGATGTACTCCCTGCATATCTTAGAAGGCAGATTCTGCGCTCCCAGGTGTGGGCGGGAGCGGAAGTTCTGTGTCCTTCAGAGACCTAAGGCTTCCAGGCCTTCTTTGAGAGTCCCCCGCCGCTTTGGAAAGCAAGGGCTTGGTGACTCCACAGCCAGGGCAGCACCATGACTGCGGGGCTCCAGGCTTCCAGGGGCACTCAGGTATAGTGAGGGCATCACTGACCTTGAGTTTAGGGGAGCAGCTCTGGAGACGTCAGCCCTCTGGTGAGCCACAGACCGGCAATGCAAAGCAACCCCCTCAAAAGGCCTGAAGAAGGTCATTGTCACTGCAGTCTGTAGGAGGCACTTCAGCGAGCCACAGCACAGGCCCTGTGACCTTGAACTTGATGGAACAACTCAACCAGAGCTAGCAGGATGCCCACAGGGCCACCACCTGACAGCGCCGGAAGAGCTTAGAGGACACCAGTCCAAAGCCACTGTTTAGGGGAGAGAGAGAGAGAGAGAGAGAGAGAGAGAGAGAGAGAGAGTTAGAAGGCAGCAGGTTCTTGCTTCTGGTTGAATGGCAAGAGATGACTGACAAATCTCTTGGGAACGATGGAGATGGGAAACCACTATTTTGCAAACATCATTAGTAATGATTATGTCAAACAAGATGCATCAGTGTGTAAATCTGGGAGAAAATTTGGCATATACGTGCATGTTAACAAGATAAACCACTACAGATTGCTTACCCATTGCAAGGGAAAAAAATAGAACCATCATGCTAGAGAAATCAGATGATCAACATTAACATTCCCAGGGGAGGACAGAGATTTCCCCAGCGCCTCCAGTGGGATACCCTGAGGAAAACACTCCTTGATGAGTTTGAGTGAGAAGGCCTGTGCTGAATCACATAGAATCAAACATCCAACTGTAAAGATGGCAGGGGAGCTATCAAAGAATGTGTATGTGCTAGCAGATTAAGAAAGGCTGTGTGGGGCCGGCGCTATGGCACAGTGGGTTAAAGCCCTGGCCTGAAGCACTGGCATCCCATAGAGGCACCAGTTCTTTTTTTTATTTTTTTATTTTTGACAGGCAGAGTGGACAGTGAGAGAGGGAGAGAGACAGAGAGAAAGGTCTTCCTTTTGCCGTTGGTTCACCCTCCAATGGCTGCATTGTGCTGATCCGAAGCCAGGAGCCAGGTGCTTCTGGTCTCCCATGCGGGTGCAGGGCCCAAGCACTTGGGCCATCCTCCTTCCATCCTGGAAGAGGGGCAACCGGGACAGAATCTGGCACCCTGACCGGGACTAGAACCCAGTGTGCTGGTGCCACAAGGCAGAGATTAGCCTATTGAGCCACGGCGCCCGCTGAGGCACCAGTTCTAAGTCCTGGCTGCTCCTCTTCTGATCCAGCTCTCTGCTATGGCCTGGGAAATCAGTAAAAGATGGCCCAAGTCCTTGGGCCCCTGCACCCATGTGGGAGACCCAGAAGAAGCTCCTGGCTTCACATTGGCCCAGCTCCGGCCGTTGCAGCCAACTGGGGAGTGAACCAATGCATGGAAGATATCTCTCTCTGTCTCTACCTATCTCTGTAACTCTTTCAAATAAATCAAATAAATCTTAAAGAGAAAGAAAGGCTGTGTATGGTTCCTGATTACAGAAGGCTGGAAACATACAACTAAGGCAGGAGAACTTGGGAACATGAGAAGACATCAGTAAGCCAAGGACAAAATATTAATATGGATCACAGATTAAAATACTCTACCAGTATAGACTTAGGAAACTGATGACCACACTGTGAGAGAATGTCACTCTTCCTAGGAAGTTCACATTGAAGTGTTAAGGGATAGGACAATTACACACATGTAATTTATCCTCAGATGGTACAGATGTGTGTTTATGTGTGTGTGTGAGAGAGAGAGGGAGAGAGAAAAGGAGAGAGAGAGAGAAAAAGAGAGGGTGGGAGGGGTACTAGGTTATACCCAAACAAGAGTAAAGTTTTGGGGTTCTATTGCACAGCAGGATAAAGATAGATAATATTAATTTACTGTGTATTTCTGTAAAAAGAACTAGAGGATAGTTTTTTTTTATGATTTCACAGTAAAGAAACGTTAAATGCTTGAAAGGATAAATAGATTTGCCCAGATTGGACTTTTATACATTATATATATTTAGCAAAATATCACAAAGTACCCCACAAATATGTACAATTGGTATACGTCTGTTAAATTAAAAAAGAAAAAAAAGAAAGCCAATAAGAGTTAATGGGGTAAAATGTTAATAATAATTGACAAATCAGAGTGAAGGTAATTGCAGATATTCTCTGTGCTATTTTAATTTCCCCAATTTTAGAGTTGTTTTCAAAAAAATTATAAACTCCCTAAATGAGGGGTATCCAAAAGTTTATGGGAAATGCATATTGTTTTTAAAAACTGCACTACACAAATTTTTGCACCAAAATAAACTTATCTTTAAACTTTCTTTTCCATGAACTTTTTGAACCCTCATATAAATTATTAATTGAATTAACAAAATATAGAGGATAAGAATGGGAAAATATATGAGATCCCAAACACATTCTGTCTCCCAAGGTAGGGAGAGAGTGGGAGTGATGGTGTTTAAGCTTCAGGCAGGTGGCTGGAACTATGGCTAGTAGGTTAGGCCTCTGCCTGCAGCCCTGGCATCCTAAATGGGCACCAATTCAAGTCCCAGCTGCTCCACTTCTGATCTAGCTCCTTGTTAATGACCTGGGAAAGCAGTGGAGGATGGCACAAATGCCTGGGCCCCTGTATCCATATGGGAGACCTGGAAGAAGCTCCTGGCTCCTAGCTTTGGATTGGCTCAGCTCTGTTGTGGCCATTTGTGGACCAGCAGATGGAAGATCTCTCACTCTATCTCTCTGTCTGTAACTCTGCCTTTTGAATACAATAAAAAAAAAAAAGCTTCAGGGAATCCAAGTGACCCTGAATTTACATGCATTCATAGAGACTTTGATCTTTAAATATGAAATAAAAATTTTGTATTGCTTGAGAGGAAGAAGTGAAGAGAGAATTAGTTAAAACTAATGTCCTGATTAATCTGGAAGAAATCTGAAAAGAAGAAAACCACGGACAACAATAGATATAATGTAGTAAAGTATACAGTAAGGAAGAAGATATGTAATCAAACCTATCAGCTACTGCGAGAAATCTGAATGGGGGACCAGCGATGTCATTGTCAGCTAAACACTGCAGCGGGCACTTGCAGAAAACTAAACTATATAGGTCAGTCATGCCATGTGGCCTCTTACTGCAATCAAGGAATAGAATACGTGGATGTGTGAGGCTGCTGCCTGGGTAACAGGGCATACTGTTTTACAGTAACTTTTTTTTTAAAAAAAGTAGAGTAAAATAATGCTAAAAAGTATAGCACAGAAAATACATAAGGCAGTAGCATAACCATTATGATCATTGTCAGGTATCAGGTACTGCATGTCATTGTGTGGCTGTATTTTTACTTGAGAGGCAGCACAGTAGGTTTATTTATGCCAGTGTATAAATAATAAATTGCAAATATACAAATAATGCATTGCACAAGGACGTTGCAATGGCAGTAGGAATTTTGCAGCTCCGTTATAATCCTATGGGACCACCATCATATATGCAGTCTGTCTGAAAATTGCTAAGAGTGCATTACTGTATGATATTTGCACCGAAGGTTTCAGATATATTTTTTAATTTGACAGATAGAGTTAGTGAGAGAGAGACAGAGAGAAAGGCCTTCCTTCCATTGGTTCACCCCCCAAAATGGCCACTATGACTGGAGCTGAGCTGATCCGAAGCCAGGAGCCAGGTGCTTCCTCCCTGTCTACCATGCAGGTGCAGGGGCCCAAGGACTTGGGCCATCCTCCACTGCCCTCCCGGGCCACAGCAGAGAGCTGGACTGGAAGAGGAGCAGCCAGGACTAGAACCAGGTGCCCATATGGGATGCTGGCACTGCAGCCGGAGGATTACCCAAGTGAGCCACAGCTCTGGCCCCCTCAGATATTTTTAATCACATGGAAAAACACACAAGATGATTCAATTGATGTGTTGCATCTACTGAAATTATGGCTGCTAAATACTTCAGGTCTTTTCTGTAAGCCACTCAAAGAAGCAGACTCATTGTGATACGCTTCTGCAAAAGGCTTTGCCAACTGACTTTTCCATGTCTGATCTTTTGCTGCCACCTAGAGACAAAACCTAGTCATAGCATGTTGTCCTTAAAGCACAAAGAACCAGATATCCAACCTCCCTGACTACAGCAAAGATTGCATACAGGATCTGTGGGTACAACATCTTCTACAGCAAGGAGAGCCATGAGACAATTGATTTGCACCAGGAATAACTCTTAACAGGCCCGGAGATGAGCACTGAGTGTGCAGTCCCAGCATCACTCAATACTCCCAGCCTGGAAACTCATCCCCTCCCCCTGGTCAGCCCGGCTCCTGACCCCTAAGTCAGTGAGGGTCTGAGATGAGCCCTCCCCCCCACTACTGGGTGGTTAGATAACATTTCCACTTAGAAATAATAATAATGATCACCACAACTTGTATGCATGGACTTCGAAATTTTTGCACAAAAATAAATTGATTTTAAAAAAAGATCTGATTTTTTGAAAGGCAGAATTACAGAGAGAGAGAGACACAGAGAGATTCCATCCACTGGTTCATTCCCCAAATGGCCACGGCCCCCAAGAGCCAGGAGCTTCTTCTAGGTCTCCAATGTGGATGGCAGGGGCCTAAGCATGTGGATATCTTCCACTGCTTTCCCAGGTACATCAGCAGGGAGCTGGATTGGAAGTAGAGCAGCTGGGGTGGGAAGCAGTAATAAAATAAATCTTAAAGAGAAAGAAAGGCTGTGTATGGTTCCTGATTACAGAAGGCTGGAAACATACAACTAAGGCAGGAGAACTTGGGAACATGAGAAGACATCAGTAAGCCAAGGACAAAATATTAATATGGATCATAGATTAAAAATACTCTACCAGTATAGACTTAGGATGTGGGTTTCACAGGTGGTGGCTTGATTCTTTGCACCACAGCACCGGCTCCTTAACTTATTTCTTAAAGAATCCTTAGAATGACAAAGTTTATGTCCTGGTCCAACTCAGCTCATACTATCTCTTCCTCCTCTTTTTTATGAGGGGGGGCACTTGTTCATTTCAAGGAACAGGACTTTCCAGAAATGGCTAACATGGCTTACCAACATTCTCTGTGTCTTGTTAAAAGTGACCATGCCTTGACCACCATTTTGAGAGGGGGCTGCATTATCCTGCTTGCTGGGAATCCTGCTCTATTGGACTCTTTCAAATGTGTACCCAGGCCTCTACTGCCACCACACAGAGCCCCAAGAGCAGGGACTGGGCCCGTGCCTCACTCATCTGCATAGCCACATCCCGTAGTCAAGCAACTGGTACCTTGCTGTGCTCCAAAGAAACTTGTTGTATGAATGGATCAGTACGAAATGGGGAATGTGAAA